TTTTGTAGGTTATGTAATACATTAACTGGGAAAGGAGTTGTTGTGATTTTGTTCATATTCGATATAGAATTCTTTTTGAGTTGGCTTCTTTTAATTAATAATAAAGGATTATTAAACTATTATTGTGTTTCACTGGGCGTAACAAACAATAGAAACTTTAAAAAAAAGGGTTGTCGTAGATTAATTCATATGACACATTCAATTTTTTGACAAATAAAAATGAATGACTTTTGGTTTAAGAACCGACGTACCTTTTTGACGTCATTGATTTGTTTCAGTCAATTTTTATTTGTTAAACAAGGAAGGCAAATGCTGGTGGCAAGTACAAACCCTGGCGAAACAAACTTTACTTTGAAATTGAAATTGAAAAGCCATCAGCCCCAGTTATTCAGGCAAGTACTAAGTACTTGGTCTGATTACAAACAATCTAATACCATCAATTTTTTAATATCAAGGACATCAAATGGTTTTATCAATTTCATATCTGAATCCTATCCTGGAAGCATCAGCGACAAAATGATAGAGCAGAGTAAATATCTTGAGCATTCACCTGACAACTGCGGAAAAAATACATGGTTAACAGCCGTATTCACCATACCGTAACAGATTGTTAAATTGCTTGGTCAGTTGAATCATATCCGGTATTCACCATTGATAAATACTACCTAACAGCCTGTTGAAATCTCTGATAAGTTAACAGTCGAATTTTGGCCTGGTAAACCTTAACTGTTTGTTGAAATTGAAAAAAATGAGGTTAGGTTTTGCGCTATTGTTTGTTTAGTTCTCATTTTTCATTTTAAGGATTGCCTAGGCGATTACAATTCAAGAATTATTGAAATATATTATATTTTATAGTGGAACGGATCGATCGAGTTGATCTAATTGATTTTATGGAGTCTTCAGAGTCATCAGAGAGTGAAGCTGAAGAAAATTTCCGCCCCGAAAGACGTGTCGAGCAAAGAATCAATTTACTAGAAGAATTGGATGATGCAGAATTGAACATCTACTACACAATGTTGTGGAACCCATTAACGACAGAAATCAACCAATTTCAAAAGTTAACCAAATTATAATATGCCTGCGATTTTATGCAACAGGATCATTCCAAATAAACGTTGGAGATCATTTTAATGTCTCCCAACCAACTGTATTCAGAATAATTCCTCGAATCGGCCGGGTTCAGTTCATGACACTACAATTTTTAATGACTCCAACATCAGAGCTCGCTTTGAAAATAATGAATTTTCCTCCTGTTGCCTGGTTGGAGATGGAGGATATCCATGCAAAATGTATTTAATAACACCTATTCTGAATCCTCAAACGTTACCACATCAGCGGTATAATAATGCTCAAATAAAAACAAGAAACCCAGTGGAGAGACTATTTGAGGGAGTCAGAAGTAAAAGGGTTTAAGTGCATTTTTGATGGTTCTGAGATAATTAGCATTAAAGTTTAAGAGTGTTTGAAAATTTCAGTATATATTTGAAAAATAGGTTTTTATTGGATAATTTGATTCATATTGTTGAAATAATGATGGCAAATCGTTATTTCGTATATATTTTTTTTTTATATGGTCTATTTGGTCTATTTTGAAAATTATGTACTTGAACCAACTTTATCATTTCAAATAAATTAGAAGTAAAACGATTTAAGTGCAGCTATAAGTTATAAAAAAAGACACATTAACATTTTACAATCATTAAACTAAATTTTATTGATGAAAAATGATTATACAAGTAGTTGTTATTCATAATCTGATTCCAGTACCATACTGACTTCTTCATCTTCGTCATCTTCAGTAACTTGAGCTGAAACCTGTTGGGTGCCACTTGTAGACTGAGCATCAGCATCATGCTTCAAATTTGTGTAGAATGAATGATAGAGGGGGGGATGTAGTCTAAGAGGCTTATAAGATTTTTGTACTTAGCCGTTTTTATTTTTATTGTAGTTTGGTTGAGGGGTTTCAAAGTTAAAAGCTGGAAAGATGGACGGCGGCCAAATTTTGACACTCCCATAGAACACAGTGAAAACTCAAAGTTTTCGTCTAACGTATGTTTATATTTGAATGAGAGTTTTTCCGATTTGAGATATGCAAACCAATAAATACTCCTCCATCTCAGAGCATGCCCATCAATGGACTTTTTAGGGTCATTCATGATTTGATGGAGCGTTGAAAAAGAATAAAAATCTTCTGTAGCCATATTATGAACATGGAATTTTGTAGAAGAGCTTTTGATTACCTCTTGCCAGTGCGCTGGTATAAATACTTGGGGAAATAGCCGTTTCTTTTTCTCGATTAAACCAAAGCTCCTGTCACACTCCATGTACAGGGTGTCCCATTGAAGATGGGAATTAAGGTTATCTGCTAAACTCGTATAGGTAGATTTTTCTGATTCCACATTCCCGAGCCATTTTTTAATGACGAATCGAATGCCGCAAACTGCAGGTCTCTATCTTGTTTCGTTTTGGAGATACAGGGTGAAACTTGAAATGTTCACTTTTCGAGGGTAGTCATTATCTAGCGTGTGAAAAAACGTATCAAAAAGGTGAAAATTGTATCTGACGTAGTTTTTTACGTAGATTTCATTGGCTTACTGGAATTTTTTTTCCGAGGTACCGCTTAAGAGATATGACACAAACTTCATCTTTTTTAAATGGGACACCCTGTAAATTTTTACATTTTTGGAATACGCATAAAATTACCTTTCCGACGATATATAATTTGTCTATATTATTTTATAATTTGTGAATACTATTATGGTATTTGAAACTTTTCACAAGAAATAATAACCCTTGCAAATCACATTGAGTATTTGGTTTTATTTTCTGGTGTGAAAAACTTATAATTTTTTGATGTGGGATACCGTGTAAAATAATAGTTTATTAACAGCCGTATTCACAATTGGGAGATTTGACTGACTGTTAAGTATCAGACCGTTAAAACTTAACAGACTGTAATGAAATGTCGGTATTCACCGAAGATATAGGTATGCAGTTTGATTACAAACCTACTGTTAAATCAAAATGTCTAGAAATTTAGGCTGGTATAATTGCTTGAGCAGAGTCACTCTAACCTCAAAATTGTATTGTTTATTTTTCTTTTGAATTTTATTTTTAAATTCAAGAAGGAAATATCACAAATTAGGTATATGCTGTGGTATAAGTATAAACTATAAAATGAAGAAAAAGAGATCTGCGAACTATACGCAGAGGGAAAAAGAATCATTGATTTCCTTAGTTGAAAAGTATCTTAATGTGATTGAGAATAAGAAAACAAACTCTGTGTTCAACAAACAAAAAAATGATTGTTGGGAGAAATTGGCATGGGAATATAACTCCATCCAAACAACTGGGTCAAGAACAGGAAAACAATTAAAATGCTGTTACGAACAAATGAAAAAGATTGCAAAACAACACAAATCAGAGGACAAAAAAACTAATGAAATTGGATTTTATCACAAGTCGCTCTACCAGTGCAGACATAAATAAGGAAAATATATATATTGCGTATCAAGATGAACAATCTGAAGAAATGGATGAAGACCTTACACAGATTGAAGATGATGAAGTATTGAATAGCAGTGTGGCATGAAATAATAGGTTTGTTTCTTCACAAACTAGTCAGAGTGAATTTCATTGGATGAAACTCGTTTTCTGACTGTTTTCAACCAATGAAATTCGTTCTGAATGGTTTGTGATTTCTGCAGAAACAGACCTAATATAATCGAGGGAGAGTTGGAAGAAATTGCTATTGAACATTAGCAAAAATATAGTGAACCTGATCAGTTTATTGGCTGGGCCCTTGGCTTGCAAAAAAGAAAACATACAAAATAAGTAAAATAAAGAAAGTAAAATAATTGAGCTAAACAAAACAAAAAATAGAAGTTTATAATTTAAAACTGAATGTCTTGAAAACAATGGCAGAAACCGAGTTGGAACATTTGAAAGGAGCAAAATTAGACGAGATAAAGGAACTGATTAAAAAGAAGGAGAAAATTATTCTTGAACTGAAAAAAAAAATGAGTTACATAGCTCTTAAAAAGATTGTTAATGTTAATTTTTTTCAGATATAAATAATTGTGAAAAAGTACTTAAGTTTTTGTATCATAAATCTCATTTTTTTAATGCAAAAAGTATATTAAATACTGAAATAAAACATTTTGCTTGCAGTCAAAGTTTTAAGTGAACATTTTTGAAATTATTGAATCCCTGGTAGCGGTATTTTGATGTCCAATCACTCGAAGGTTTTGACTTTCCTCCATTCCTCTAGGATCATCTTCAAATATTTCAATAGTATTCTTTTCCTCAAGACAAATATTGTGTAATACAGCAGTTGCCACAATAATCTCACAAACAGTTTCAATTTTAAGCCTCATTCCTTGTGAAAGGCAAGGAAATCGTCTTTTCCAAACCCCAAATGAGGGGGTCAGAAGTAAAAGGGTTCAAGTGCACTTTTTATAAAAAATGATTTGAGTGCATATTCATATAGTTGAAAGCGATATTTATTTGTTAGTGAAAAGATTCAAGTTCATTTCGCGCTATTACTGCCATCTATCAACCCAACAAAAAAACTTAAGCAAAGGGATGTTTATTTCATTTGGAAGGGTTCAAGTGCACTTGAACCTTTTTAACACACACTAACCTATGCATAGGCGATATTCTGTGGTCAATCTTTGTGATATAGGGTGTTAATCAGTGTTATTGTTTTCTTGTTAATATCTAAATAATATTGTTTAGTTTTATTTGAAAAAATGGATAGTGACACAGAAAGTGACGGTGAGTATATTAAACCAAAATATTAATAAAAACTGAGATGAAAACTATAAAATACTGTTATAATGTAAATAAAAAGCTAGGTTACGTTAATTTATCAATAAAAATAGGTACAACTATATCATCTGCCCCCTATTAAAAAGGGGGCAGGTGGCATAGTAGCACCTATATTTCTATTGATCCTATTTAGACTTCAATTTTCCTATTGTTTTAATTTTTGGAGAAAGGTCAGATCCCTATCAGACCGACGAGGACTCCGATTATGTTCCAGACGAAAATAATCCAAAGCAAAGAGGTGGGGACTCTTCCTCAGATAATGAGAGCCACGAAGATGAACAAGATAGAGACTCGGTCAGAATTGAATTTTTACACGTTACTCCTTCAAAAACAAGAATGCGAAAGCGAATTCTGGAGGCCAGGAAAGACAACATTGCCAAGAAATTGCGCGTCGAAGGTAAAGAGTATGTAGGCCGTAAGGGTAAGCCACGAAAAGGTAGAGAACTAAAAGAATTTAATCATGAGTGCCGATTTCACTGTAATCAAAACATAACTGAAAATGACAGACGGCAGTCTGTCTTATCAAATACCAACTTATGATCTACAAACTGCATTTCTGTCTTCTTGTATCACGAAGGTTCAACCCAAAAGACGCAGATCAGAGGCCACCCTAGAAAAAAATTACAGCACACTAATAACTTTGATGGGAAAGCGTGTGTGCAAAAGTTTTTCCCTGCGCACGTTTGATATCAGTGTGCGTCGATTTCAAGTGGTTTGTTCGAAGACAACAGATCTGGGAATTGTGGAAACCGACAAACGTGGGAAAAAAGCCCCTTCAAACAAAATGGAGGCACCCAGAAAAAAAAACACTGTTTTCACTCACATTAGAATGTTTCCTAAATATGCCAGTCACTTTTCAAGGAAAGATAATCCTAATGCAAGATATTTATCAGGTGATTTATCTATAAGTAAGATGTACAAAATGTACAAAAAATTTTGTAATCAACGACACGAGGAACCTGTTAAGGAATCACATTACAGGTATGTCTTCAACACAGAGTTCAATCTGAAGTTTCATAAGCCGTATAGCGACACATGTATCCGTTGTGACAGTTTCCAGAACCTCATTAAACATTCCAGAGATGAAGAAGCTGTGAAGAATACCAAGCGTGATTTAGAACTACATCAGAGAAAAGCCAAGAAAGCGAATGACGCTAAAAAATCTGATATAGAAGCAAGTAAAAATTCCAAAGATACTGTCGTTGTTTGTTTCGATTTACAGCAAACATTGCCAAGACCACTATTAACTACTTCAAAAGTATTCTACCTTTGACAGCTATGGACAATGGACATACAACTTTTGTGTGTACAATTTACTATCGGGAGAAAGTCACATGTTTGTTTGGGACAAAACCGTCGCATCCAGAGGATTGCAGGAGATAGGTTCATGTCTATTAAAGTTTATTAAAAGTCTGCCACCCAACATTACAAAAATGATTGCCTATAGTGATTCATGTGGGGGTCAGAATAAAAACAAAAACATTTGCAAACTATTTACTTTTGTAGTACAAGCCACCCATTTAGAGGAAATTCACCATAAGTTCCTCGAACCTGGTCATACGTACAGGGTGTCCCATTTAAGATGGTATTGGGGGTTATCTGCTAAACTCGTAGAGATAGATTTTTTTTGAATTCACATTCCTGGGCCATTTTTTTATGACGGATCGAATGCCGCAAACCGCAAGTCTCTATCTTGTGCCGTTTTGGAGATACAGGGTGAAACTTGAAATTTCCACTTTTCGACGGTTGTCATTATGTCGCGTAAGAAAGAAGATATCAAAAAGATGAAAATTGTATCTGACGCAGTTTTTTACGTAGATTTCATTGGCGTACTGGATTTTTTTTTTCGAGGTACCGTTCAAGAGATATGACACAAACTTCATCTTTTTTAAATGGGACACCCTGTAATTTTTTTCATTTTTCGAATACGCATAAAATTACCTTTTCAATGATATATAATTTGTTTATATTCATTGGTGATTTGCCAATTTTATTATGGTATTTAAAAAACTTTCCATAATAATCTTTCGAAATCACATTAAATATTTGGTTTTATTTTCTGGTTCAATGTGATAAACATAATTTTTTGATATGAGACACCTTATAAAATAATAGTTTTTTTCTACAACCGTCAAAAAAAGTTAACATTTTTAGACTATTTTCAGGTGTAAAGTTCCAAAGGAAACAATTCTTGTACCAGTCATAAATATGCTCGCTCGTTGCTTTCTACTTTTAATCCACCGGATTAAAAGTAAACACCAGTAAATTACTTTGAATCCGGCAAATTAGAAGTAAATTGTTTAATAACCTATACAATGGATTTACCTATTATTCTAGTGGTGCCTGAGAAGGCAACTACGTTGGTAAAAGTAAAACAAAAATGACCCGTTACTGTTTTTTTATAACTTTGATATATTTTTTACATCACGCAATTTATACTACATTTTTTTTTGTGTCTTGATTTCTTTTCGTATCTCTTTTCTCTATCGAGAATAAACAATCTGGGGCGCCACTGGAATAATTACAGTAAATCAAATTGAGTCAAAAGATACCTTTTGTTATACAAACAAACCTGCCAAATTTAAAGAAAATCGGTTAAGGGATTTTTGAGTAAAAATAGTTATTATCCTAGCAAGTGCGGAAAGTTATACTTTCCCGCAAGAGTTAGGATCAAGGAACAATCTAAAATAGTATATTATGCAATGATCATGTAATGATAGCCATTAATACACGAGCATGTTGTAGGATACGAAACGAGCCGCAGGCGAGTTTCGTATATAACATGCGAGTGTATTAATTGCCATTACATGAGAGTTGCATACGCTATTTTTTCTACTTGCATTAATAAACGAAAAACATATTTATTTTATAAGAATAGTAAACTTCTCAACCGGTGACAATTGTTGACAACTTGACAATTTCAAAAATTAAGATATATACTTTATTTTTTCCCAAGATAGATTTTGACATTGAAAACTTTGAAACATAAACAATAATGCTTGACCCTGATTGGTCGCAAAATGAGGTGTTTCTGCAGGTTGACATCAGTTTTACAATAGCGGCCAATAAGTTGCATTAGCGGCATTGTTTATGTTTCAAAGTTGACAATGTCAAAATCTATCTTGGAAAAAAATAAAGTATAGACGTCATTTGGGCATAAATTCCGAACCCCATTTATTAATTTTTTGTTGTTCCTTCTGGTAAATACTAATAGAAACGATCCAAAACTTCAAAGCATGTCTGTTATTTTTATATAAACATTGTTCATGTTCAAAATACTCGATTCCAGTGGCTGAAAAATCTGTATCATAGTGAAAATCTGTATCGTAATGAAGTTCATTATGAAACAGATTTTAGGCGTATTATGAAACGTCAGTAGAAAAAAAAATTATTTATTATTAATATGGATATTAAAAGTAGGTACTGGTGTTCCATTTAAGATGGTATTGGGGGTTATCTTCGAGCCTGTGGTGGTAGGTAGAAAAAATTCATAGCGAATTACTGTCCCATTTTTTATTGTGAATCCACTGTCGCAAACCGTTTTTTGATAGCTCGTCTCGTTTACAAAATACAGGGTGAAATAGCTTTTTTTGTGTTTTCTTTATCTCTCTCGTCTTCAGGAACTACGAATGATACAAAAAAAGAAAAAACGGCTCTAGATAGAGTTTTTCACGTAGAATTCAGTGGCGCATCAAAAAAAAAATGTTCAATTTTTCCAAAGTTGTAACACAAACTTGTTTTTTTTTTTTAAATGGGACACTCTGTATATTATTATCCTAATCGATAGGGATTTTTTTTTCTAAGTAACGATATATAACATGTGATGCCTATTTTAATTTAAAACCTATAAAAGGCAAAAAACTCGTATTTTTCTTAGGTGGCTCTGGAAATTCATGCATAAATGTATAATATTAATTGAAACTTGCTTTATTAAGTTTTATATACAGCTATATTCATAATTAAAATAAAATAAAAAATTATAGAAACACCTATCTTGAAAAAAAAAAACGATCTTATAAAAATATGCTAATTTTTTAAACTACAGGAAATTTTCAAATTGTCTTCCATTATTCAAAAAACACAATCGTGATCGTTTAAGCACAGCATTTATCACTGGGGTAATTTTTCGCAATGCCTGCCTAACACGATCCTGCAGCTCAGCCTTAGTTGCACTTTTCTTTTGAAAAACAATATTTTTCAAATGCCCCCAAAAGAGGAAATCCAGAGGATTTAAATCTGGCGAACGTGCTGGCCAAGGAACGGGTCCGGTGGTTCCTATAAAAAGTATATCTTAGTGAAAATAAACTACAAAAATCTTATTATAACTCCAGGGTGTTTCAGTTTTTTGTAGCATGACTTCAACAGTCGATAGAACTCAAAGGTCCATAAAAACATAGGTTGGCAAACGCTTAGATCCTGAGTTACAGGGTTACAATCTAATTTAAAAAAAAAAAACGTTTTTTGTTCATAACTGAAGGAACCCCGAGGCCGATTTTTGTTAAACTTGTATGTTTTGTTCACAATACTAAAAAAGCATCTTTTGACGTAGTTAGATTTTCCGTAATTATTCCAGTGGCTTCCCAGTGGTAATTTTCCGCGTAATCGAAATTTGGTAATTTTTATTTTTTTTTCGTAGTTCTGAACCTGAAATAATTTTTTTGTCTCTCTCTCTTAAACAACGCAAGATACAAAGAAAAAACAGTCAAAAAAGATGTGTTTTTGCCTGTTTAATCAAAAAAATATATAAAATCTATACAAAAAAAAGTAGCGTACCTACCATATTTTGTCTTTTTTATATCAACTGAGTTGCCCTCTGGAACGACACTGGAATAATCACAGAAAATGTAACTACGACGAAAGATGCCTTCAAGCAGCATTGTTGACAAACCAGCCAGAAATCGGCCAAAGGGCTGTAGCTATGAACAAAAAACTTTTTTTTTTCAAATAAATTCCGTAACTCTAAAACGAAGCATTTCTAGACATCATATGTTTATAGGATTTTTTTAAACTTATTTTCAATAGTAGAACGCGCTGTTGAAGTTTGTTTACCAAAACCTAAATCACCTTGTATCAATAAAATTACCCATCCATAGTCGGATAGGAAACAGATGCATGAGCATTGTGCACAGGACACCCATCCTGTTGAAAATATACCCGGTTGAGCCGGTTCAAAGGTAGGTTGTCCAAAAATGGTTCCACATATAGATTGGGAGGGCGTGACAGGTTTTACCTACTGATTTTATCCCGCATGCCTTTTTAATGGTTGATAATTAACCCAGAAACATCAAGAAAAAATATGATTTCCACCACCGCTCGAAGCCGCTATATAGGGAAAATCGAATTTTCATTTGTGAAAAACTTTTGTGGTTTTTGGGGATCTGTAACTGCATGCCATTTAAAAATAAAGTAAAACTAACGAATTGAAAGTCTTGTTATGAAAGACATGCACCCTGCAGTAGCGCAAATGCTTCAAAGAGTCACCTGAAGATCAAAAAAATAATGCTGATTTTTAATGTTTTAAAATTGCATGCCAATGGAAATATTCAATTTTCATCCAAATAACAGCATGCATGCGCCGCTCGGTGGGGGAAATCCGGAAAATCAGCGGAAAATCTTGTGAAAAATTTTAGTATACTTTTGGTGATTTCAAACTCATTCAAACAATGTTCAGTAATGATTTTATAATGAAATAATTATATAGGCCGAAAGGCATGGAAACCGGACGGAACAGAACATGAAATAACAGAACATGAATGAACAGAACGTGAAAAAGCAGAACATGAAAAAACAGAACAGTGAAAAAACAGAACAGTGATAAAACAGAACAAGGAAAAAAGAGAACTATGACATAACAGAACCGAGAAAATAGAGAACACTGAAATAAGAGAACCTTGACAAAACAGAACTCTGAAAAATAAGAACAACTGGAAATAATAAAGGATGAAAAACAAAAAATAGGTATCTAGTTATTGAACTTTAATGAATATTTTTTTACTCATGTAGGGTGTCATTGAAATGGTGTAAAGAAATTTGGGGGGTGATAGTACTCATAAAACTGGTTTAAAAAATTCCTATAAACATGGTTCGTAAAATGCATATTAAGGGAGTTAGGGGTGTTAAGGGGAAAAATTGAAAATCGTTTTTTTCTTTAATTGTAGGTTTGAACGAGATGAATTTTAGAAAAAAAACCCTGTCTGGCATAGATTTTTTTTCTAAATCCTATATTTTCCCTTAAGAGAAGTGAAATTATAATAGCTAAATAACTCAAACAGG